ATTGAGCACGCTATGCTGGAAAAGTGCGTTTCTATCGTGCACTGCCTCATAGAGGAAAACAGGCTCTACAAAATGGCAGAATTTTTTATTTTATTCAGTGAAGTGCAGTACAGTAGACAGTCAGAATTTTTGAATCCATAAAAAATTTAAGGAGATTCGCCCGAGCGTTTTAGAAAGTTATTGCGTTATCAAGTGATTTTATCAAACATAAATCAGTAAAATAATGAAAGAAACTCAAAAAAATAACTAGAACCTTTTCTTGATGATGTTTCATGCTAGCCCGCACATTTTGATTAAAATGAGACGTCTCCCAGCTCTACACGAACGTTCTTTGCAAAGTTATAGAATTTACAAGAAAAGCACTAAATGTTCATTGTCAGCTCAAAGCTACAGAAATAAGAAGAAATTAATTTAGGGCTTTTCTTGTAAATTCTATAACCTTGCAAAGAAAGGTCGTGTAGAGTTGGGAGATATCTCGTTTTAATCAGAAATTTACGAGCTATAATTATGCCTCATTAAAAAGGGGTTCGGTTACTTTTTAGAGTTTCTGAAAAATTGGTTTTCCAGAAAACCGGATCTTCAAGAGCCATGGGTACGACCGCTTTTAGAATCCTCTTAGTCTCAACAAGGACTACCTTTGGCCCAAATATGGAGTCGAAAGCGCTGGTCATTTGGGGTAGTTCCCTCGTAAGATCCGAAATACACAGTAGCATACCAGAAAACCCGTGGGTCAACGTCGTTCATGTTTATAACAGTGACTAATACTCTCGTTAACCACTCTACGTTACACTTCATTCGCTAGAGAATTTCACGAGCTTCAAAATGATATATAGAATAGTCTTAAGATAATGTAACTGGGTAGTCTAACACCCGAAACACTCTGTAGCATCTCAGCAAATCGGAAGGTCAATGTGGTTCATGTTTATAATAATGACTTATGTTCTCGTTAACCACTCCACTTTATATATCACTCGTCATTACTGAATAAATTTGGTTTTTTGGTATCAAACTATATCAGTACTGATGAGCAACTGTCCATGTGAGAAATTATCCTTGTCAGGAAGTGTCCGTGAGGAACTGTCCATGAGCTACTGTCCTAAACTCGGCATTAGCAGCTTATTGACACTTTCCATCGGAACTGGCAATAGCTCCGAACTGATACTTTCTGACGGAAGTGCGAGAGCTCCTCAACGACACTTTCTGCTGGAACTAGCAATAGATCCGTATTGCTACTTTCTATCGGAAGTGGCAATAGCACCTGATTGACACTTTCTGTCGGATGTGGCAATGCCTCCTTAATGGCACTTCCTGTTGGAACTGACAATGGCTACGAAGTGATACTTTCTAGCGGAAGCGACAATAACACCTTATTGAGACTCTGTAGCTCGTAGCTGGCAATAACTTCCTAAATAAAGGACGTTTTCATTATGCTGCTAAATAAAAGATCACTGTATAATATTAGCGTAACCCTATTTCAACTGACAAGATGTTTTATCATTCAAAATATACGGGAAACTTTTTTCAAATTTTAGAGGAGCAAGAAGAAGTATATTTGAAAACATGATCATATATTTTTGATCAAAAGGTAATCAAAGTTCTTTACCACTCTTACTTTTCTTTAAATACTGTTTTTTCTACTGCTCGCATCACATTACGAAGTCGTATAAAATTAATCTGGATATGGTTGAGCACACTTTTCTGTACAAAATTCGATATTTTGAAAAATTTTAGACAGCCACACAGACAAGATCAAGAATACACAGACATATTAAAATTACGAAATCAGCAAATGACGTTTCACAAAAGAACGCATGTTACACGAACGTGACTCGTATTCAAACGTTCATTTCTGTTTTCTGTTACGTTGTAGAAAAAAGGTTAAATACAGCGTTTACAGAGAAATTTTTGCTCCATAATTCAGCATATCTGGATTGATTTTATACCAGATTTTATGCGTCTATATCTGATCGAATTGATGTACGTGTCCAGACTACATTGTTATGAGTTTTTGTTGGTGTGAACCCAATAATGAAAGGTATAGATGAAGAAAGGAGAAAGACACAGAAACAGGGAGTAAAAATTGGCATGGAGGAGGGGCATTAATAAAATTATAAATTGGGGTCTGGTAGGACTATCGTTAAGAGAATATTTGGGCAGAGTAAGATATACTGAATTAAAAAAATTGGTAGATGCGTAATGGCTATAATGCTTTACATTACCGTGAAAATTGTTTCGTATAGTTAAAAATTGATTTTGACAGATAACGGTCTAATTCACTTGTCGACTTGTCATCTTTAGGTTTGAGGGAAAGATATTAAACAGTTTGAAAAAGCAGTAGTTCTACGTACAAAATAATAACATGTTTTTGACGTTTATTCTCTTTATAGTGACAAGTACTATAACGACAACAAAATGATTTATTCCAAGAGAAACTGAGTGGTAGAAAAATTAAATACTATCTTTGTACCATATATTGAATTACAAGATCGAGAATATAACATTTGGGATAGCAATTAGTTTTCGCACATAATACGGTGTACAACATTGACGCTCTATAATAACTAAGAACAATTGGTTTTGCAATCTCATTAAGTGAATCAAAGATGAGGTAACATAAGAAGAACTACTGATACATGTAAATGGTATGTGATTCGCAAATTATCATCTGATTGTCGATTATTATTTAATCGTTTAACTAATTAGTATCTGTCTGAAGATCACCTGTCTATTTCGGTAGAAAAAATAAAAGAGCAGGCGGTCGTATCTATAACACACCTAATCTTCTAGAAAGAGACTAGCTATGAAAGCACTAATGACACGCAAGAGAGAACTGAGTGTTTATTTGATTCTAAAGATTGATTACCGACCGGTTCCACTTTTATTAAAATAAAAACTCTTCAAGGTATCTAGAAAACACAAACGAGCACGTACAGTCGAAGAATTTCGAACTGTAATAGCTCAAATTGATACCAGTTGCGAACAATTAGTACTATCTGAAATGCCCGATTAAAAAACTGATTTGTCGAACTTACAGGCTCTTAAGTGTATCTCAGGATGCTATCGCTTTAGTCACTTCCTAAGTATACAAGCAAGAAGGTGCGAGACTCGATTCAGATCTTATCAAAATACGCTAATACCTAACTCAGTTAAGACAAAGCGAGAACAACTGCAGGAATAAAAAATCACGAAGTGCTTAACAGTCTTAAAGTATTTATTAGACCTGACCCATCTCTGTAAAAGCCTTTGGTCTTAAAGTTAGAAAAAGACGAAAAGAAAACTGTCTTTAGTAAAAGACAAGATAATTAACTGAACCATCGATTGAGGAACAGATAGAAAAGTAGTCTGAAACACAACAAAAAGCTCCCGTTTTATACCGAACAATTAAATAACCGGAGATTCATGAATTTTGAAAGAATTTCGAGATTCGTAATCAGCACCAAGGATTGCATCTAGTGATATGCTCCTTTCAGTTCTACTCTAAAATTATTTGTTCAAAAACTTAATCAGCGAAGTCTCGAGTAAGCCGGATAAGCCGTTTAATCGATTGTTTATCAGCATGAAACATTCTTCGTTAATTGTATTTCTTCCGTACCATACATCTTTAACATCTAGCCGATCAAAACGAGCACTAATATCAATACTTGTTTGTGCCAGATTCAATAATCCACACGTGATTTAAACGAAAGCATTCCTGTAAAGTAATGGGATCTCCGACATTTTTTCAAAACTTTACCATAGAATCTAAGTTTTTTCAGTGTGATGAACTGATAATCTCGAAAATGCATGGAAACATAAGTAATCGTCCACGCTGAGTCTTGTGGCAATCTTTGTTTTTCGAAAAAAGTTCAGAAACCCGGTGAAAACCTATATTAGGTGAAATATCCCACTTTTGCCTGTTTTCACGTCAAATTAGAAAACCCATAACTCAGTCAGAATCGACGTAAAGTATGCGTATCAACATGTACTTTATTTCATCTGCACTATATCATGGACTTCAACAGAATTTTTAGGAGCAACACGGAATACTTTGACTTTTGGCAAGGTTTTCTACGAAAATTTGAGTTTTCATGCTGTTTTCACCTAATATTAAAAAGTTCACTATTCAATCAAAAAGAATCAGAACGAGTTCAAAACCTCAGAATACGGAGCATTTAAACTGTTCTATATCCGGTTTCGTAGATCTCAAAAGAAATTATAAAAGTCCTAAAGTTAAAAACAACTTAACAAAAATATGCTTTTTCGGTTTTTTTCGATGTTATAGTCACGTTTAGCGGATAACATTAATCGTATCCTGAGATTTTGAACGGCTTCTGATGTTTTTTGATGCGCACATGATATAGTGGGAATACCTGCTTTTCTGAAGTTTAGAAACGCACGTGGTACAAGCTATTTTTATGATGATCATCATCATTTTTCTCTTGTTTTGCGCTTCAGTGCGTTTTAACGATATTAGCAGTATAGTAAGAAAGAAACGAAACATAAGGCGGTAAAGGGTAATGGGTTTAATTCGGGATCATACACTTGGTCGTCTAATCTGTTTTTCAGCCATGGGTATAACTCTAAGTTGGCTGGTTATCATTTTCTTCTTACCGGATAAAGTTAAAGTATTTTATTGTGGACTGATCGGAATAGTTGGTCGTTATTGTCAAGAATATCAACCACAACGTTTTATTCGATATATAGCTAGTGCATTGAGCTTCTGCTTATTACTTTATTTAAATATTACACTGTGGGAATTAATTGGCTTAGGATTATTAGCAATAACTATGAATCTCACGGTTAATGAATTTAAAGTATTCTACAAATCAAAGATCTAACAGCAAATTCGACGTTTATGAACAGTTTTTCATGTATTTCTCGCTTTTTTTCTTTTTGTAGGAGCCTCTCGGGAAAAAGCTTTTTTTTCACATCCGATTTCGATGGTGCTTGCAATGACCAATGCCTACTATCCAACTAGCTTATGCTGAAACTTTGAGCTCGTAAGCCTGGAGAGTAGCCAAATTATTGCATGCCAATGGGCAAAACGGGGCTATTAGCAAAAACGGTCCAGTTAATCAGTTATTGAAAAATTGAAAAATGAATTTCCGGATAAGGGTTGACTAAAGGGGATCGAGGGTGCTGAGCTCGAATGCGATGTCAGAAATGAGGTATTAATTATTATTAGTTAATAAATCAGTTATCGAAAAATGAATGCAACGCTGGGCGTTCGTGGTTTTCCACGAGTTATTTCTAGTATTTTCATGAACAATTATCATTCTTTACTTAGATCTTATACCTTCGCGTTGCATTATTATTAAGCGAATGAACAAGAGTCGAAAAGTCTCAGGAGACAGTGATTAGAAAAAGCCAAAGCAAAATTCAGAGCGAGCGAGGTCAATGCTATTCTTCTTTGCTGCACACTTTGTATCTTGAAAATCTCATTTCTGCACTGACACGCCTCAAATGACATGTTTGACTATGTTGACAAGATTCTAACTGAATCAAAAGATGTTTTCTTTTCTAATTATATGTTACTCTTCAAATCATTTTGTAGCTGAACTCAAAATTGAAGTTTCGAAAATGCATGTTCAAAACTGAAAATTTGTTGAACAGAGAACTATGAGCACTCATAAAGAAAATGAACCATATTGTTTTAATGTAGTCACCTGTCATCCATTTCACTACTCTTTATTAGCGTTTCGAGGCCTTCTAGCTTTTCTACAATTTGGTCAAATTTGGGTCTGTTTAGAGGTAACTGGTCCCAACATTCTCTGACTATTTGAACATAGTCAGTATGACATTGTACTTGAAACAATGGTCTTTCTCCCTTTAACACTTGGGCTACAATTACTCTAGTTTCGAGTTCTTGCCAAATTCTTCTTCCGCCATGAGCCAATTCAAACAATAACATTGCAAACATGTATACATCAGCTTGAGGTGTATAAATATGTTTTTGTTCAATAGCTTCTGGAGCATAGTGCCGAATTGATCCCCGTGCTATATATTCTGTAGTTGAAGTGTGTTTTGATACAGTAAAATCTGCTATTTTAGCAACAGTAGGATTGAGCACAAGAAGAACATTATCTGTTTTAATATCACGATGTAAGACGCCAATTGATTCAATATATGCCAGGCCACGAGCAATATCGATGCATAGATGAATCCATTGTTGATTTGGAAATATGGATTGAATTGTCTGCGATGAAGCGTACGAATATTGTTTCAAATGTTCAAGTAAGTTGCCGCCTAAACACTGCTCCATCACATAAAAACCTATATTACCTTGTCCATTTACACCGTGCCCATAAAAATGAAGTATATTCGAATGTATTCCTAAATGATGAATAACATCTAATTCTTGACGAAATTGTTTTAGATTGCGATTGGTTAACTTTATCACTTTGACAGCTACGGGCACATTACACAGTTGTTTTGCATAGACATTTGCACATCGTCCTCGTCCCAATTCAATATCATCGGCGCCTTGCAAGTCCGACCACGACAAGATCGTATTAGAAGAATACTGATCAAGAGATGAACCGTCAATTAACTTTTCTTCGTTATTGCTTCTTGTGTATGTGATATTATGTTCTCGGTGATATTTCAAAACAAATGGATGAATGGTATCACCGGGATCTCTTCCAGATGAAATCTGATTTCTTATAAATGTGCTACTAATATGCGTTGGACAATCATGATCATAGACAACATGAATATTCTGTCGATATGGAGAAACCTCATGTGAGGATAGCCATGCATCAAAATCAAAACCCACTGAACGGTTGATAACAGTCACAACTAATTCTTTCGTATATGCGCCCTTCAACTTGGGTAATGCATCGCCTCCACAAATAGATATAATTTGAACTTTCTGATTGAAATGTTGATCAAGAACAGTTTCCAAGTATTTTTTAGTTTTGATAATCCCCGGATTTTTCTCATGTTGAGTTTGCCAAGTGAAAACTGTCAACCAATTATATTCTGATACAGCTAACTGACACATTGCTATGCGATCTTTAGCCGATAAAATATGTTCGTGTTCCATCATCTTTCGTCGAAGTGCTGCTTCATGAGTTAAACATATGAGACTGCCAATAATATTTATCTTTTGTTCTGCTGATAAATGTTGACGAGCTAATTCCAGCGTACGAATATGATTATTATGGATGGGATTAAAACATCCATTTAATAACAAGACACCATTGGGTAATTCACTCGACAAACACCCAAACTTATCGAAAGATAAATCATCAGATGCCATGTATTGCTTCACTTCTATGTATTGATACTATTCTTATACTAATATCGCACACTTAATTTCACGTAATTACGTAAAAATAATTTTTCTTGTTTTTTTCTTCACGAATACGATTCATAACAATTTTGGTTTTCAATAACTGTTAATGTAGACAAGTGTTTGTGATTATTTGAGTCAGTGTTATACAAAGAACGCGAAAGAAAAATTTATCTTGCACAATCATTTGAAATTACATGTCTGATGCAATTATAACAATATTGTCAAGAGAATTCAGGCGTGTATTGCGGCTTGTTTATCTCTTACATATGAGAAGATGCGTACACTTTCGATGTGAAAAGAACATGCACAAAAAGAAAAGAGAAAAAAAATTTACATTAAACGAATGGAAAAGGAACGATAGATAATTTAAACATATTCTTTCTTTTCCGAATGTCTCATTATATTACACATACGAATTTCATTATACTACAAAGAAGACAGAGTTCAATCTACAAGGGTTCTAACAGATAGAATTTAAATACTAAATTGTAATGATCAAAAAAATATATAGAAATTACTCTTGGCCAATGTCAGTCAGAAAGTTCAAATTATATCTATTTACGAAGGCGAATTTGCATTATCCAAGCTTAACGGTACATATAGGAGAGAATTTGTCATGACTGTTGTCAATCGTTCAGTGAGTTTTGATTTTGATGCATGGCTATTGTCCAAGCTATTGTCGCATGCGGACAATAGTCATGCATCAAAATCATAACCGCATGCTATTGTCGCATGCGATTTCTCCATTTTGAAAGAATATTCATGTATTTCTGATGCTGTAAAGTATGCTCTTTCTCATAATGTGCGATGGATGTTGTTCAGACAAAGTGTTCAATAATTTAGAGTAATAGCAACTAATATAACAATACACTTCATTCACATGTTATTGATGTTTCATTGTTTTAATAACATTTTCCAGACAAATTTTTAACCGCTGTTACTTTAAATATAGTCTACTCAATTTTCACTCATGCTCGATGACAAAGACAAATCTAATGTAAAGATACGACTTAACTTGATAATAGATCATGGTGTGATAGCGCTAATTTTGAATGTTGTAGATGTTATGCCATGATGCTGACTTGTCATGCAATTCTTCCGGAAGTGCACGCTTTTGTACATTTATGCATTGAGATTTTTAGTTATGGAATCCGAGAGATGAAGACAGTGTGGATTTGGACGGTGGATTAACTAATAATAATTAATAACTCATAACTCATTTCTGATACCGGACTCGGATTCCCCACCCTTGGTTACCCTCTGGTCAATCAAGTTTTAGAGTCGTTTGTGTTTTGGGTTTTACCCAATACATTGGTGCTGTTTAGTGTCTTGGGAGCGTTCCGGACAGAGGGACAGATATGTCTGGGCTATTCTTATTATGCCAAAAAA